TGTAAAACTCAAAATCAACATTCAAAGAGAGACAAAACTTTAAAAAGTATAAGCAATGACTAGATGTAAATTTATATCTCCATAAGATCTTTTTTGTAGCTGTGACACTCAAGGAGAGAACACAACCAGATTGCAAAAAGCAGTCAATATCTCATAAACCATTCACACATATTTGGACACCCCATATGGCTCCTTAAAACCCCCCCAACCAAACCACTATCTTTATCTTTGTATATAAAATTGTAAAAATTTGCATGTATGCCTACCGCATCAGAGCTTGTTAATCTACAAGATGTACAAGTAGCCTACATAATGTAAATACTTTCACTTTTTATCATAATCATAAGATTTTATTCACCACAAAAACACAATCACAACTACCTCTGCTTTTGTTTGTTTGTTGGGTTTTTTTTCTATTTTTCCCTCTCGTTTCATTTAAAGATTCTTCTAAAAAAAAAAAAAAAGAGAACTCACAGGACATCTATCTCCGCCTCCTTGGCTTGGTCTAAGCGGAGACGAGAGTAACTCTAACATCACACCTCAGACTCAGAACCAAACAGAGTTGAGAGGGACCATAAATCCATACCACAGCATAACAATAACATAGCTTCATTCACGACATAGAAAAAAAGCAACACTGCCCAGCAGAATCCACACAAAAATCTCAGCCATATTGTCATGATAAATTATGTAAACTCATTGAGTAAACATGGAACATGTACCTACGGCGTAAATACACTACCTCGTCTGACATTTTTTAGTTTTAGTAAGTGTTTTATGGCACATGCAACACAATAAAGCCATAAAAGTGCCAAAGATTAGAGGTGTGTTACAAGAGAGTAACAAACACAAAAAAGAAGGAGACGTTAGATGTTTGATAGGAAAGAAGAAGCAAACCACACCAGAGCACCCGCCAACCACCCACCTTGTCAGGCATGGGTAAATGAAACACGTCTGGGAATGGCAAATGAGTTCGACAAACTACACATATCCATAATTCAGGTGAAGCAAAAAAATGAAAAATTAGATAATGTTGAAGAAAATCAAGGGATCTTCAATGATTCCCTTTTCGGTTTTATCTCCAATTTTTTAAGGAACCTAGACAGGGTTGATTTGGTGGTACTGTACCAAATCTCTCACAAATATGTCTTGTCAACCTCTGCCAAAATCTGAAACTTGTCTTCTATAGTCAGATGACCGAATTTTCTCTTTTGAGCCTGTATTGATAAAAGGATAGAAGGGATATGCGTGCCTCTTGTTCAGTGTCCAAGCAAGAGAAAGGGAGTGATGCCAGTGTGCCCTATTATTAAAAAAAAAAAAAAATTTCCCTTACTGCACATCATGATCAGGAGGATGTAACCGACACAGGCCAGAGCACGCCAACCACCCCTCCAGTGTAATCATTTCCCAATCCATAACTACATGTTCACAATCATACAACTACTCATGACACATAAACACAAACATAACAAGCATAATTCACACACCATACGGCCCAAAGCAATGCCGCACTGTCTTTCATCTCACCCCGCCACACTGTCTTTCATCTCACCCCGCCACACTGTCTTTCATCTCACCCCGCCACACTGTCTTTCATCTCACCCCACCACACTGTCTTTCATCTCACCCCACCACACTGTCTTTCATCTCACCCCACCACCCACTCTCATATTCACATGACATGACTAGATTCAGGGCCTAGGGAAGTTCCAACGCTTTACGCACACTACACACTACTGGTAATGTGCGATGATGCATCTCAATACCAGCAGTGTGAGTACTATGCTGTGCAAGGGTGAGCCAGGTGGGCTCACGTAACCTGATACTCTCCATGACTTAATGACGATGAGTAGGCCTATGTTGTTTTTTATTGTGATCCCAGGATGATTTGAAATCAAGACAGCTTGGAGGAAAAATTTGATCATTTTACTCTAGATGAGCCATTCGACAGATCTGTATGGGTGTTTGAGAAAAATTTTGCTGATACAAAGAATACATAGCTGTCCAGTCTGGGGATTGCAAATTGTACGAGCAATCCCAAATTTCCACTTAAGAGTGTTTGTATTATCTGTGCCCAACTGTGCATTGCTCTGGAGTTGGCACCCAACAAAACAAACATGGTCTTGAAGTAGTTATCCTTCAGAGGTTAGTGTAATGGTGCAGGAATACTGACGGCCTCTGACCAAATTTACTCTTCACAAACTATCCACATACTCTCAAAAAACACTATCACAAATACTTTTTTAAAAATAGTAGAGGGTTTTACGGCACTGGCAACTGCATAAGGTCATATGATGAGCGCCAAGGGGTGGGTGTCAACAGAGAAGTTTTACAGGGAATCAGACTTAGACTGCTCACCTCTCTAGCTTCAACAGCACAAGGTCTGCTGTGACTATCAAGGCACCCCAGAAATAGCAGGTCACAAGAGAGTGACAAACATACAAAAGAAGTAGAGGAAAATGACAATAGTAAGGATCAGGAAAGAAAAAGCAGCAGTTCCCTGTTGTAGATCAGGCACAGTTATGAGCGTGACATGAGTCAGCCCATTTACAATTCTACTATGCTTGAACGAGAAATGTCCTCCCTTTGGGAATGGCCTAAAGACACTACAGTCAGTGGCACCGCCCCGGGGGGTTATCACAAATACACACACTTATATAAAAAGCATCACATACTTGATACATATAAACAGTAGTAAAATAATTCCTCTCCATCTGTCTTAAACAAAGGCAGGAAAGGGAGGTAGACAGCCAAAGAGGAACAATAATAAATGAATCAAATAAAAGTGACGGCTATCTTAAAACTGCACTTCATGAGAAAGTATATTTCTTCGCAAATGACCCCTCACTCAAGTAGACATCATAGTCACCTGAGTTTCCTTGAACAGCACAAAAAAGCAACACAAGTTTCATTGACTAGACCAGTGGGCATGCCACTCTTCTCTGAGACAGATGAACAGGAGACAAATGTGTTTCTCTCTTAATTAGATATTATGTTGATTGTACTTTCATGGTTTAATGCATTTCTTGACAACTATGCATTTTATTTTTATTTTACTAGAGAAACTCTTTTCATCTTCCTAGAACTTGCTGTATGAGTACTGAAGAAGATGTTTATGCAGAATTCATATAATGCCACAAGTCGCAAGGAACAGATTGAGTTTATAGAAACACTGACAAGAAGTAGGCCTACAAGGACAGGACCGCCCTGGAGGAAGGGATCATTGGAAAAAAAGAAAGTAAGGAGAGGAAAAAAAAAAGACTTTGCAGGTGAGGGAATGTACGCTTCATGTTTTCAAGCTATATTTACTATACCCTAATAAATACACTTGAACTGAGAAGGTGAGAAATTATTGTTAAAAACAAAATTGAATATTTCCAATTCTGCCAACTCAGTGGAACATTTAGACACTTGACATGCACGCCCAATTCCATGACATCAGAAGCACAACAATGAAAGCCCAGTGGGTACTGGATTAAAACAGCCATAACAAAAACAAACGCTAGAGACCAAACACCCACATACACGCACACAAACACGCGCGCGCATACACACAAACATATGCGTGCACACACACACTCACACACGCACGCGTGTGCACACAAACACACACACGCACGGGCACCCACAGAAATACACACACGCACGGGCACCCACAGAAATACACGTGGGCAAACACACACACACACACACCCATCAACTCACAAAAACAGCCACACAAATATTGACAAAGAATATTAAAAGGAAATCAGAAGGCCACGGTGGCTAGTACATTGTCATAACATAAGAGAAATACAAGAGGAGGTAAATTACAAATATGTCAGGGATTCAAACAGTTAAGAAACTCAAAAAATGTATTAAAAAAACAAAAAACCCGCCTCACAAAGCATAAATCTCAAATGTAAAACAATGTTAACTTATATTTCACACTTTCCATACGACTCATTTTGTGTTCTTGGTAGGACAAGATGTTGAAAGTTGCACAATTAAATAATGTTCCCTGTATGTCAATAGGGTATTAAAGTGGTTAAAGTTCAAAGCAGACGTAGACAATTGATATATAAGAGAACCCTCTTATAAATAACTTATTTATAACCAAAACTTAATTAAATCAGTTATTTTAAACTGCTTTTGATCTGGTTATATCAAACCTTGTCTTGGTGCAGCTTCCTACTTGTAGCCCCTGGAAACTCGGCTTGATCATATTTGTTTGAGTAAAGAGAAGAAATCGACACAATGATGGTCATTTAGAGCTTGATCATGAATATTGATAATCAGTAACAGATTAGGACAAATAGAGAAAAGAGGTATAGGGCATCTAAAAAAATGGGCTCCCATTTAAAGGGTAATAACTTGATCATCTCTCACTTCAAGAAAAATTAGAACACGTAAAGTTCAACCAAGAGGACGTCAAGTTTGTAAATATCATGAAGAAAATCAATCAATGTGCTCGAAAAATAGCAAGTTGGATAAATTTTAACCAAAATTGGCAAAAATGCAAAATTTTACTTCTTATAAATGTTCAGCTACAGGGAAGTGATTGGCCTATTATGGTTTCAGGACAAGGGTGGTAAATCCACAACAGACACCTCAGATAGATTAAACTTGCCGAGAAAGTTTAGGAGAAGTCTGGGGAGAATGTGTTATGTTGTACAGGCCTGGTCCCAGTGGGATGGGGCCACAACCCCCACACATAGAATGGCCCCGATATATGGTAGAAAGAAAGGTTTGGGGAACACCTTTAGTGCCGAAAATTGACAAATGAATGGTTATTCTATTCCCCTCAACTTGAGCCCCTTTAATAATTACCTTTGGGGGGTTTTTGACAGACAGAGTATTGGGAAACAACCCATAAACAACCAAACAGTTAAAACCCAGTGTTGAACAGGATGTCCAAAGAATTAACCCAAAAACATGCCCAAAGGGGTGGAAAGAAATGATCTACATCTGGAAATTTCAATAGCGAACACCTTCCTTTATTTTTATTATTTAACAATATCCATTTTTTGTTAATTTTGTTCTTCAATGAACAAATAGTGACTATTTGAAGTAGAACAAAATGATTGATTTTTAAGAAGTTGCACAGTTTTGCATTTCAGTCCATTTTGGTTGAAATGTTTAGAATTTGATTTACAAATGTAATATCCCCATGGTCGAATTCTACTACTGCAAAGTTTTGTTAAATTCGTCCAATGATAACTGAGTTACTGTTGTTTAAGTGGGTCATTAAAAAAAAAACACCCCATAGATGTGGCAGACTACACCGGAAATTCCAGCGGCTGCCCACGTCTGACTTAAACTCAGAACCCATGCGAAAAATTTACTTGTTTTGCGATTCAAATATAAAAATTCCTGATAATTTCCAAGTTGCAAGAAAGACCCAAGTTAAGTGGGCCTTGATACCATCCCTAGAACCTAGAAAATGCTGCAGCAATATGTATGAACCAGCATTGTGGAGTGGTTTTCTATAAGACGCAGAGTGTAACAACTAAACCACATATTAAAGTGGTACGGTGGGTTCAAGGTAGTACTGTAAAAAATAAAAAATTCATGGATCCAGTCCCAGTAACGACCATGATAATAGCTCGGCAGACACTGCAGCCCAGTAAAAAAACAGGATCAGAATTCGGTGTGTAAATATAATCATAAACAACTCTCCCTGATGGTCAATTACTAGCACAAGCAGCTGGTGGGAAGAAGAGCTTCGATAAGGATTTTAAAATTTGATAACAGCTCAATTGGTTTGAAACAATACGTAACACATTGCTGTGATTTTTAACAAGGAACAGAAAAATGATTGGAGGAAAGTTATCACAGAATTTCAGATACAAACAAAGTCAGTAGAACAAAATTGTACATGACAGAGCCTGATGTTATGTCTGTGCACCCAGAGAGAAAACCTTATGGACAGTGTCCACAGACTCTGGTAGGTCATCTGAGCCGAAGAATGTGTTCCGTTCCACATAGTCCACTTGACCTTCTCCATCCACTAGAATTAAAGAGCTGGTTCTGGTAAAAATAGATGGACGGATTTGTTAACGTTAACATGGCAGCCCATATCATGATCATGAATGTGTTTACGTGTCTACCAACAAAATTTTATCATCTAAGACAGGCCGGTTGGTTTGACCTTGTGGGATGCAGCATCCCAGCACACAGACAAAGATACTCATTAAAAAAAATAACTCATGGGAATCTAACTCACTTCCTCTGTATGCAAAAGAATCAAACTAAATCTTTAACGTCCACAGTGAAAAGCCTAAGCCTTTTTTTTTCTTTTCAGGCTTTTTTTTTTTTAAACACTTTTTTTCTTTCATTCGACATAACCTTCACTAAACTTCATAGACAAAGGATTACTTGAATACATGCATTTTAATTGCAAAAAAAACAAAAACAAATATGACAGTAAATTATAAAAAAAACCCAAACATGACACTAAATCATTTGTAAAGCACTCAGTGCTTATTCTTGTATGGGATGGAGCGCTCCAAATCTATTATTATTATTATCTGAATTATCATTATTATATGAACAACTAACCTGGAGCCATACCGCTGGGCTGGGCTATAGACGTTCACAGCTGAGTGCTGACCCGTTCTGAGCGGAGAGAAGCCAACAGAAGCAGCCACCACCTCCAACACTGGGTCTGGCAGAAGACTGGTGATTGTAAATTAAAAGAGTTTAATGCCTTTTTCAAAAATATATGGGAGAATTTTTAAGAGACACTACCTCTTGACTTAATGTTCATCTTTCACAGGGTCAGGGAGGGGGGAGGGAGAAGGATTGAGAGGGGGAGGGGAGGGAGAAAGGAATGAGAGGGAGAGGGAGAGAGAGAGAGAGAGAGGGTGAGGCTGGGAGGTGGGGGAGGAGAGCAATGTAGAATGAGAGGGGGGGAGGGCTAAAACAGAGCGAGAAAGAGAGAGAGAGACAGACAGCCGGACAGACAGATAGACAGACAAAGAGAGGGAGACAGAAAGCTAGATAGATAGATAGATAGATTGATAGAGAGAGAGAGAGACAGACAGACAGACAGACAGACAGACAGACAGACAGACAG